CAACTGGTTATCAGCCGTAAGGCTCTCCAGCTGGCGATCCATCTTCTGAGAGTGCACCTGGTTAAGCTTTATAGCTGATCCTTCAAGAACGGCTGCAGGTATTGCAGGGGCCAGGTGGCCATACCCTCCTGAGGCAGACTTTGCCCGCGAGCTTTGGGACAGGGTATCCGTGAACAAAGGTGGCTCTTCAGGTAAGATCAAGAAGAAGCGTATTTGTCGAGGCCTTCAGTCCCTTATAGACGGGGGCATCCCATTGGAAAAGGTTCTGCGTGCGGCAGATCGTCTTGGGAAGGACATCGAAAGCGCTATCTATAATCCTGATCTACTGGAGCCAGGCACTCCAACAGAAGAGGGAGCCAAAGAGCCTGAGGAGTCTGAAAGTGATCTGGAAGTGACGGTAGTTGGTCCGAGCGCATCGGCCTCTTCCATCACCGAAGCCGCATCGTCTTCCTCGACTGCTGTTGTGCGTGAGCGGAGTCCCCGGAGGAACATAACACCGCCTCCAAAGGCAAGGCCAAAGCCAAGAACTGCAAATCTGAGGCCAGTCAACATTTTGCTCCCCGACGGCGTGGAAATTCTCGTTTGGGAAGGTGGTCGTTGGCAAACGCAATCAGTGTTGCAAAAGGCCCCATTTGCAGATCGTTTTTTGTTCATCGACAATTACAACACATTGTCGAGGGCACGCGAGGGCACAACTGAGTCTTTGGGGAGGATTCCGTCCGCCAACATTGCATTGCTCGAGAACCTGAGGGCTGAAAAGCCTCGAGGACTTCAGCTGCATCTGTTGAGTTTCTTGGTGACGCCTGCAAGAAGGCAGGAACTGTTGGATACCTTGCACGCGACGCCGGAGCTCAGTAATCTTCTGGATTCGGTCATCATTACTCCGTCCAAACGCGGGTGGAACGGCAAGGCAGCAGTATTGAAGGCATTCGACGCCCCAAACCAGACACTCTTAGCTGACGACGATCAAGGCATTTGCGAGGAGGTTTGGGAGCAGTGGGCGGGAATTCCTTTGCACATCAAGTTGCGCAACAAGCCTGGGTGTTCGGAAGGCATCGAAGAGGTGCAGTTTCTTGAGGACGCCAAAGGATCATTCCTCAGGTTCTTGCGCGAAGAAAGGTCTAGACTTTGGCAGTGCTAATGACGGACGTTGATGCTCGATCGCGTTCAGGGCATTCGGGATCAGGAGATTCGGGAGTACAAGGTTCTCCCGAAACCAGGTTGGTTCCAGCTGAACATGCAGAGGCGCGCAGGTTGGAGGCGGTAACGCCCAGTCCTATGCACCTTAGTAGCTTTTTGGGATCACCTCCAGAATCAATCCCGGTTCCTGAATCATCTTCCAGTGATTCCATGATGCCCCAGGCGCTAAGCCAATCATTGCATCTCCATCAACATGAGAGTGTTGAGAACACATACGTGAGACAGGAGTTGCAGGACCATCGGAGTATACACCAACACCTTCAACTCAATCAGGCCAACCTCAGTGTGACTGCAGACCCTCTGATAGTCGCACAGGCTGCGGTTGAAGTAGACCTCGCCCGAAGACAAACAGAAGAGGTCCGTAGGCAGGCCTATGAAGTGTTGCACCGAGCCTCTCAGGAAGTTGATCAATCAAGGACTTTAGCTGAGAGGGAGGTTGAAAGGGCTAGGCAAGCTGCAGTAGAGGCAAGAAGGTCCCAGGAACCAAGCGAGCAAACGCTTACCTTGGCCCAGAGTGATTTTGAGAGAATGCAGCTTCAAATTCAAGGTTTGGTTGAGGTGGTTGAAAAGCAGAGGTGTGTCATTAACAGATTGGAGAGCGAAAGGTCGCAAGCTATGAGCCCTAGTAATGGTACGGGAATGGCTCCAGGGAAACATCAAGGGACTGAAGCCACATCATCCGCAAATCAAATACCCTCAAAGCAGCCTCCAGGATCAGGCATTGGCACGCAACAGGCCCATCCAACAACAGCCCCAACATCATTTGCCCCGCCGGGTAGACCTGAGGTACCAAAGATGCCGAGCGGTTTTGCTTATAGCACCACTTCGGGGCACCCAAATGGACTCCCGAACGATGATTTTGGTGGTGCTTTAACCAAAGCCACCTCGCCTCCAGTTCCTGACTTGTATTCCATCAACACCCCTCCGGATCAACGTGATGACCTTAAGGAGCAGTTGGCGGTTTTGTCAGCCCAAGTTGCGTCACTAACTGCAGCGATAACGTCAGGCGGGGGGCGCGGCGGCAACGCCCAGCCTTCCGAGAGATCGCTGTCAGCAGGTACAGGCCACAAGGGTACAGGTTCCGATAGAAAAGGGGGTGATAGGATACCGGGTTCCCCAGGGTCATCATCATCATCACCCTCTTCAAGTAGTTCTCGGGATAA